GATGGTCGCAAAGTATGGCCGCACCTAAGCTTAGATGATTAGAAACATTTAATTGATTGAAACATAGTTGCTCTGGGTATGAGAGAGGTTATGTGTTAGTTTTCTCTGTTGTTTTGTGGAGTGAACGGCAAGTCTTTCGACGGATTTTCCACCTTTCTCTTGGTCAGATTCTTATTCATAACCTATTCAGCATTTCAGTGCCGCCATACTTGGGAGAAAGCATCTTTGCAAAGTTATGGAATTGTTGGAAGAGGGGGAGGACGGAGCTCTGCATGATGATGTAGATGACGATGAGGTAAGTATTATGAAATCATTTTGTAGATAATTTTACCCTCTTTCAACTATGTAACATGGCTGTGGAAGTAGAAAGCTGAAGAAGTGGCTATTGGGTTACGAGATTAGAGTGCATTATGAGAATAAGAGCATACCATAGTGATAACGGTTACGTTTGGTTTCAGAGTGTTTTAGCATTTTAGAAAACGATGCAGGATTATTTCTGAACTCATGGCTAGGAGATCTGAGTAAGATCGAGATTAGCTAAAATCATGAGGTGTAAAAACAACTGCCCATTTAAATGATTATCTAAGGTCGGCGCCAGCGTGATTTATCTTATTTCACTTGTTTTATTGCATACTGGTGCCATTTTTAGTCTTTGGAGCTGGTCTTCACGGACAACAATGGCAGTTTTGCTTCACGTCGAGGTTTGATCTCCTGTTTATACTTTCAGTAAAATGCTTTGCCGAAATTCCTTTTTCAAATGGAAATTAGAGAAACTTCAAGTTCCATATGTGATGTTTCACCATACTATGTTGTACTGCAGGTGTAATAACATGCTTGGAAATTTTCCGTAGCTGAGAAGAATTTGTTACTTCAGCTCTGGAACAGTTCAAAGGTAGGAATCGCCAGTATGGAAACGCTGTGTGCCCTGAATGCAAACAATCCTTCGTCAATGCAGCAAGATTGGAGAGGCACTTAGCTGTGCATCAGGTTGGTTGACTTGGCTTCATCCATCTTTTGTTTAGTTTCCCTCAGTCAACATATTTGGAACAACTTGTGAAGAAGATTAGAGCTTTTCAGGTCTTTGGCGCATTTCTTTGTCCTTTGTGTGGCAAAACCTACAAATACGAGTACAACTTGTTTTTTCATTGGCGGAAAACATGCCAGTACCTCAACGACTTGATCGGAGTCGAGCAAAGAAAGGTTTGTTCCCATGTTCAAAGTTCCACTATTGATGCTCTATCTCACAAATCTGGATCTTTATTCACCCGAATGATTATGTTTTCCTAAGGAAGGTAGTCCTGACCGAATCTTCTGGGATCTCTAGTTACCAGCAATTCGATCACTGATTTACTTATTTTCTTTCTGCGCCCAAGATGAGCTATTGGCGTAAAACACTAGAATTGTGAACAATCTCGTAGTTTGCTCAGTCCGTGAATTTCTATAATTTACATCCTTCTTGTTCCAAAATTTCAGGGAAGAACTTTTCAATGTACAGCTCCTTTTAAAAATACACCTTTTATCCTTTTGGAAACACACCTTTTGAAAATTTAGAATTTGGACGTACATTCTCTTCGCCTTCTCGTGGAAGAAGTTGTTGTGAAAAGAAGTGAAACTGAGCCGGTGGAGATAGGCATATCAACGAACGCGTTGTTCCAAGGAGGCTCAACATCTTCACAGCTCGAAATGCCAATCGACCCACAAAGTGCTTATTTTTGTTGCGGTTAAGTAGATAGGAAAGAGTTGACTCATTGGGTTGTCAGATGGGTAAACCTTGCTTACTTTAATTTTCAGGTCCACTGGCTCGTGCTTGTACCATCTGCGGTATTCTGGTTCATAAAGATCATCTTCCTCAACATGAAGTACTTCATAACGCAACCACTGAATCTGGTCTACGAATTATCGACATGAAATCACCCACAGGTGGTTACTTTTGCGACCTGTGTGGTGTAGCCTTTCGGTAAGTTCATATTATCGGCTTGATAGAAGACTGGATTGCTGACAGCTGTTTCATTGATTTTGAAAGCACTTTCTCGTTATTTTCAGGAATAGGGATAATCTGTTCACTCATTGGCGATCCAGTTGTCCTGAGATTATGGCAAGTCCTGGTCACCAATTTCATTAGTGGCTAACGTGTTACAAGCGATTTTCAAACTCTTTGGCCTAATTTTAGTTATCAATCTGTTTATAATGCTATAAGGCATCATTTAGGCCAATCTCGAGCCCGGTTCTGAGCTTTACCTCAGCGATGTAGAGCTCAAAGCGATGGTTTTGAATCTTTTGTGGCGATTGAAAGCGTGTTTCTCGTCAGTCGCCATTGCGAGCCATCCGCGCGAGTTCGTTGTCTCCATGCTTTGATGCTTGATCCCTCTTCATTTCCGCGCTTTTCAGATAGAAACATTGTGGAGGAGGTTGACCCTACTGCGATTCATCGTGACGTGAGTTTGAGATGGTCACGGTTTTCCTAGCCACAAAAATTTGTTTCTTTCTATTTGCTTCATGCAGGGAAAACATGGTCGGGATGGCAAGAGCCTGAGTGTAGAACAGTACAAGGAGTCGTGTCCATCGTCAGCCGATCCGGAAGGGAAGGTACGGCGTAATCATGTTGGACCTTGAAGAGATTATCCGCCTGCTAACTTCTGCGCAGTGATTCATTCGTACACTTTTCTGCTGCGTCATCCAATAGACCATTTTTCTTTTCCCATTATGCAGTAAATAGTTATGAACGTAAAAAAGACGCCTTTAAGGCAGTGAAGTAGATATTTTTATTTTGACAGGTTACCTTTTGATTTTTTAAGGCTTTGGTGTTCATGGACGATTATGTGGATCCCGCTGACACTCTGGTAAATATTGATGGAGAATTAGTCAACGTCATATCGGCTGATAGAGGAAAATGGAATATCCCTGAGGACGGGAAACCGCTAGAGTGCCCCGACTGTTTCAGGTCTGTTCGGTTTGTACTTCTATGAACTATAATTCCACAACTATATAAAATTTAGGCAGTTTGCGAATGCGGGTCGACTTGAGCGACACATCTCTGGGTTTCATTCCCATTATGGGGCTTTCAAATGTTTGCTCTGTGGCCATAGGTGGGAAAAACTCAGCTTATAAGGTCCTCTTGAGTGAAAGGT